TTTGATATATTTTCCCAAATATTGTTGTTGCAGAGGGCATATTACGGCGGCGGTGGACAAAAATAACAAATCGGATGAACAATATATATGGGAGCTATAGCTATATCTGAACCGATTTCGATCAAATTTGGCATACATATTTTCAGGCCTAATTTGGGTGTATATGCAAAATTCCATACAATTCGGGCTGATATTACACGTTTGGTGCACAATAAAAAGCAAATCGGACGAAGATATATATGGGAGCTATATCTAAATTTTGACCGATTATCTCCAATTTCAATAGGATTCGTCCTTGGGCCAAACAAATGATCTGTGCAAAATTTCATCTGGATCGGGCAATAAATGCGACCTGTACTTTGTTTACAAAAATACATGGACAGACGGACGGACGGACATGCATAAATCGACTCAGAATGTGATTCTATGCAGATCATCAAAAGGAACTATGGGTCTATCTCGTTTCCTTTTGCCTGTTACAAACAAATGCACAAAGACATAATAGCCTGACCACCTTGTGGTGTAGGGTATAAAAAATTACGGGAGCTCTACTAAATATGTAGGGTATCATATAGTCGGCCCCGCCCGACTTTTGACTTTTCCTTACTGGTTTTAATTTTTATACCCTACACCACAAGGTGGTCAGGGTATTATGTCTTTGTGCATTTGTTTGTAACAGGCAGAAGGAAACGAGATAGACCCATAGTTCCTTTTGATGATCTGCATAGAATCACATTCTGAGTCGATTTATGCATGTCCGTCCGTCCGTCTGTCCGTCTGTCCATGTATTTTTGTAAACAAAGTACAGGTCGCATTTATTGCCCGATCCAGATGAAATTTTGCAAAGATCTTTTGTTTGGCCCAAGGACAAACCCTATTGAAATTGGAGATAATCGGTCAAAATTTAGATATAGCTCCCATATATATCTTCGTCCGATTTGCTTTTTATTGTGCACCAAACGTGTAATATCAGCCCGAATTGTATGGAATTTTGCATATACACCCAAATTAGGCCTGAAAATATGTATGCAAAATTTAATCGAAATCGGTTCAGATATAGCTATATCTCCCATATATATTGTTCATCCGATTTGTTATTTTTGTCCACCGCCGCTGTAATATGCACTATGTAACAACAATATTTGGGGAAATATATCAAATACAGCTCAGAAATACATTTGCTAAATTTTATCGAGATCGGTTCAGATTTGGATATAGCTCCTATATATAACTTCGTCCGATTTACCTTTTATTGTGCACCAAACGTCTAATATTTGTCCAAATGGGATGGAATTTGGCACTTACGACCGAATTGAGTCTAGAAGCTAGTATGTCAAATTTGGTGACGATCGGTTCAGATATAGCTATAGCTTCCATATATATTATACATCCGATTTGTTATATTTGTTACCCACAACCGTAATATGCACTCCGTAACAACGATATTCAAGGAAATATATCAAATACAGCTCAGAAAAATCTTTGCCAAATTTTATCGAGATCGGTTCAGATTTGGATATAGCTCCCATATATATATTTATCTGATTTCAAATTAATTTTGCACCAAATGGGCAATACAAGTCCGAATTTAAAAGATACAAATGCTTCGGCCTATTTAGTCTTTTGAACTTTAAATTATAATTATAATAATAGCGTGTATGATTGAATTCTCCCATAAAAACTTTTATTTGTTATGTGGAGCTCTACTTAATTAGCAAAGTGGTGTAGGGTATCATAAAGTCGGCCCCGCCCGACTTTAAGACTTTCTTTACTGGTTTTTAATGGGTCGGTGCATTTTTGTCAGCGAAGTAACTTTTCGCTACATCACATTAAGAAATAGAAAGACTTAAGGAACGAACACTTTTACGAGAGCTTTTAAAGGTCTTTTATAATTTGAAGAACTTCCTATAAGTAGTCCTAATAGAAGGTTTTACGTAGTTTTACTATAGGATATTAGGTCAATGTATGGTACAATATAAGGTAGAGTTAGCAGCTGATTAACATTTTTTCTAAGTGTGTCCGATTTCTGCCAATTTTGTGTTTTTAATTTGAAAAATGAAAATAAAAAAAAATATTTTCAAAACCATTGATAGGAAGACACGTACATTGCGGCTCGCGCACTAAAGCTATTAACCACTTTAGTCATGAAATTGAAAGATTGAACAGTTTGGATCATATTTTTGAGACATTTCATTCTTTTTTGGCGCTATTTAACTCTTTTTAAAAATGAGGAAAAATAGGAAAAAACAAGTAAAAAAGCAGTGAGTTCGGCCGGGCCGAACTTTGAATACCCTCCACCATTTGGAACGAATTAGAAAAATTTTCAAAAAATAAAATCCATTAAAAATTCTGTTAAAATATTTAAAATATCTAACATCGGATGGTGCCGATATATGCGGGGATATACGATATTGTGGACCTATATAGACAATTACCTTTCAGGGGTTAAAGTGCTCACAAAGAACTCCTTGTGTGGATTTTCAGACAATACCATAGGAAAATATGGCTAAAATCATCAAAATACCAAATATCGGGGGGATATACGATATCGTTAACCTATATAGAGACCTATATAGATAATTCTCATTCGAGGTATAAAGTACCCACTAGGGACTCCTTGTGCGGAATTTCAGACAATTCCATTGAAAAATGTGACTAACATCATCAAAATACCGAATATCGCGGGGTACCGTTATATGGGGGCTATACGATATCGTGGATCAATATAGCCCATCTTCGAACTTGACCTGCCTGCAGACAAAAGAGGGATCTGTGCAAAATTTTAGCTTCCTATCTTAATTCGATTAGACTGTAGCGTGATTACAACAGACGGACAGACGGACGGACAGAACTAAATCGTCTTAGAATTTTACGCTGATCAAGAATATATACACTTTGTTGGGTCTAAAATGATTATTTCGATGAGTTACAAACGTAATGACGAACTTAATATACCCTCCATACTATGTATGGTGGAGGGTATAATAAATGAAAACAACTTTTTGTAAAAAATTTTGAATGAGTCTGACAATAAGCTGGCATAGACTCAGGGTCGTATTTCTGTAGTTTTACGATGCAGTTATACCTCCTTACTGTACCATGGGTTAATATGTCTCCAGTAGACATGATGGTAGATCTTTTAATGCTGTTTCATAGATATGCAAAGGCAAATTCCTTTAAATAATTTAATGTATACAGGAGAAGTTTTGTATAACTTTTACAGATAGAAGAACTTCAATGGATTTTCTATAGCTGAAATTTTGGAAATGTTCTGAGAAACGTCTGATGTTGAAATCTTGAAATTTAGGACGAGGGTTAGTCTTGGTGCGTAGGCGTGTGATAAGGCTGGGTTTTTGGGAAATTCTTACTAAAAGGGTATGAAAAGTACTAAATTGAATACTATGTTTTGAACAAACGGAATGAGCTAGAAATCTCAAATTTGAAATGAGATTTACTGATGAAGCACAGGATAGATATACCAAAGGGTTTTTGGAAATTCAAACTTTAAGGTTACGAAAACTCTTAAAATTGTACGATTTGGTATTATGTGAACTGATAGATCTAAAAACATGGCATTTGATATGAGAATCAAAATTTTAAGGTTAGTTCGGCATATGAAGGTGGTTTTGTGTAAATGTGTAGTAAGTGTATCAATTGTAGTAAATGGTACAAAATTTGGAACAGTTTGTTTGAGGGTGGACGGATGAAGGTGGAATTTTGAAAATCTGCATGGAGTCCCTGATGGTGTTAAGTTTGTGATAAAGATATGGTTTTAAAAATGTATGCTACACGTGCACGAAAAGTACTAAATAGTACTATATTTGGTACAATTCGGTATTGGGTGAACATATAGTGCTTGAAATCTGAAATTTGATATAAGGGTCAATGTTAATGTGTATCATGGACATATGGAGGTGGTTTATCGAAAATGTGTACTATAATTGTACAATAGTATTAAAAAGTACTAAACTTGGTATTGGGTGAAAGAATAGGGCTGGGATCCCCATGGTTAATATTGAGGTCTTTATTGGTATCTGTTGTTGAGATCTGATGATTTTTTTTTGCAAATGCGTACTATTTTGGACGCTGTTGGTGTCTAGGATGGAGAGAAGTAGAATGTTTTGGATATGCGTACCAAATGTTACTAAATTTGGTATTGAGTGAAGGGAAATTCTGAAACTTGATATTGAGGTCACAGTTAGTTTCTAAGGTTGACATACGGTTGCGTTGTAATAGTTTTGGACAAACAAAAACTGGATAGGGGCCATTGTGCAATGGTTTTACTAATGTTTTCCTCGTTATACTCCAAAATGAGAGATTTTGAGGACTTTTTGGTGTAAAATAAACATTTCGCTATTTTTTCCGATACAAGAAATAAATGAATGTTATATAAAAACTAGAAAGTTTTCAAGTTTAGTAGGATGTTTAAAGTTTTTGATTATTTTTTTTTTTTGACTGAACAAATTGTACACTTTGAGTACTAAAAAGGCCTAACTGTTGGGCAGAATCTAAAATTTTAAGGTGGACTTTTCGCCGACGAAGTAGCGGGAACTTGCTGGTTAAGAGAGGGCTTTTAAAGGAAAGCCTCTGGAATGTATTATATCTATAAATTATCTTTCTCTGTTAAGAGAATATTTATATCCATAAGAGGTCTTTTCTATCTAAAACATTTCTTCAGATTAACATGTAATTTTAGATAGAGAAGACCTCATATGGATATAAATATTCTCTTAACAGAGAACTATCTAAAGGTAATTTATAGTTAGAATACATTCCATAGGTCTTCCTTTAAAAACCGCTTCTTAACAGATCCCCACTTAATATTTGCATTCTTTCTAACTTATTGTTTGTTTATGGTTTTTTTTCCTGTCGAGAATGAATTTATTACAACATCTTCTTGTTTCTTGTTCGTATGATTCTCTCAGGCAATTGCTTCATATCTTGAGAACTGCAAGACAATAAAATAAATTTATTTTTATTCTTTTTTCTCTTCTTTCCAGCAAATTGACGGCTATGAAGCTGGTGTTGATTATCCAACATATGATTCGGTGCCCAAAGGCTTGTCATTCAAGTGTCAAGGCCGTGCACCCGGATACTATGCCGATACAGAAACTAGATGTCAGGTAAGTTTTAAATCGACGTATGATATGTGAAATACAGGGTGCGATGAAAAAACTGCAACCAAATTCATACAGCTATCATTTCCAAGCCACTCGTCCGACAGCTTTTAAAATTATTCCAGTGACAGCTCATTATATTGTTTACAAGCGTACAAAAGAATTTTGGTGAGAATTTTCCAGAAAAAAAAGTTATTCGTGATGGAATTCACGTGTGATAGTGTAATTCTTTTATATTTGACTGGAAAGCCAGAAGTGGCTATGGTTAGAGCACTCCAGCATATAAATGTGAATAAATCTTTTGTGTTTCATACCATCGCTCGTTACCGTGATACTGGTAGCTTAGCCCGACGTTAAGGAAGTGGACGGAAAAAACAGCAACATAAACAGAAATAGTTCGAAAAGTAAAGAAGCGACTTTATCGAATGCCACGTCGCAGTGGCTGAAAAATGGCTCGAGAGCTGAACATATCGGCAAATATTGAAAAATGAGCTCGGGGTAAAGCCATTGAAATTTCAAAAAGTGCAAGAACTTACACCGCAACAGAAAGAAAATAGACTCAAAAGATCTAAAGAGTTGCTTCGCTTGGCGGAAAATGGTGAACTGCCGAATTTGGTTTACTCTGATGAGAAAACATTCGTTGTCCAGCAGTTTGTAAACAAACAAAATTATCGTGTTTACTTGCCAAATAGGTCAGCTGAAAATGTGCGCCTTCGGTTAGCCACCAGAACTCAAGCGCCGACCATGGTGATAGTGAGGACGCAATCAGCCCTCAGCCGATGGTCGCTCTCGCTCGTGTTAATCGACCGTGGCATCAGAATAAATTCCGAATATTATCGCGAAAATATTCTGGAGGGTATATTAAAGCCTTGGGCACGCCAGCATTTTGGCCGCAGACGTTGGACATTACGACAGGACTTAGCACCAACTCAATCGGCACGCGCCACCCAAGAATGGTTATAAAATGAGGTTCCTCGCTTCATTTCTAGCGCACAATGGCCAACAAAATCTTCGGATACCAATCGGTTGGACTATTGTGTCTGGAGTATTTTGGAAAGCAAGCAAGGTTGGCACTAAAAAAATACCAAAGTGTCGATCACCTCAAGCAAACGCTTCACCGAGAATGGGCCAAAATACCGCAGAGCAACATTCGGGCAGCGTTTGACCGTTTGAAAGCCATAATTCGTGCCAAAGGTGATCATTTCGAACAAATATAAACTTATTCTAAAATTTGATATTATTTCCGACAGTTTTTGCTTTCATTGCATATCCCCCTATAACGATACCTCCCGATATTCGTTCTTTTGATAATTTTTGCGACATTTTTCACGGATTTGTCCAAATATTGGTGTTTGTTGTTCGTAATAGGTTCTAGCTCCTCTATAGGTCCACGTTTTCGTATGACTCTCAGCTCCGATGGCAAAACATTAAATATTTAGGCCCACGCTTTCCTATAGCGCACATATTGCGATACCCATATTCGGTATTCGGTATTTTGATAATCCAAGTCACATTTACCAACGAAATTGTTTCAAATGTGATATTTAAGAAGATTTGTTAGATGACAATCCATAAAGTCTGAAATTGTCAATAGAGGTTCCCATTTTGGTATGGCCTCCTTACAGCTGCCTCACCGACTTTATGGTTTTTTGAAAAGTTTAACAGCATTGTCCAAACGGTATTTGTAGTTTTAAGTAGAAAACGTTTGACTTCAGATACTTTTATATAAAAATGCTTTCTTTACCCAAAGGTGGAGGATATTAAAATTTCGTCTCGGCCGAACTTAATATTTTTTTTTTTACTTTGGAACAATTCTAGTTTAGTAAAAACTCTTCAATTTTTTTTTCGAAATTTTTTCCAGATATAGGTATTTTTATCCTGATTACAGGAATCTATTTTTTTTCTTGGGGGACGGACCCGGGACCCGAGATTTTTGACCCGAAAGTCCGGGCCTGGGATCCACTTACTCGATTACCAGGATTCTAACTGGTTGAAATCGGGTTATGCGGATGAAAAGACCCATATCTCTGGACTCAGTAAAGGTATTAGCACAAATTGTAGCATTTTGGGGCCTTTTTTGACTTTTTGGGGATTCTATAAAAAATCCGGGTCCAAAATTTCGATAATTTGACTATAACTTCCGAACCGTGACCACTTACCCCATCATGTGACCACTTGTTGAATAGGTATTTTCATAAACGATACCTATATTGTATATATCGGATAATTGGATTCGGGTCTAGTCGGGGTATTGAACCCAGACTTTCGGGTCAAAAATCTGTGGTACCGGGTCCGTCCCCCCAAAGAAAAAATAGTTTCCCGGGTTCAGGGTAAAAATACCTACCCCTTACTTTTTATTACCTAAAATCCTAAATTCAAATTTTGAAAATGTGACTAAAATATGGCGAAGTCTAATTATATTTTCGATTAGAATATTTTCCTAAATTTTTTCATAAAAAAGTCATAAAATTAGAAATTGTATTTTACAAATTACCTTTGCATTGAAAATATCTAACTCAATTTATTATTGCCCATTAATTTTGGCTGATTTTTATTTCGTTTTGTTTTATTATTGTGTTTTTTTTTCAGATTTGGCATTGGTGTCTTCATTCCGGCCATCAATATTCCTTTGTCTGTCCAAATGGCACAGTTTTCAATCAGGCTGTTCGTGTTTGTGATTGGTGGTCCAATGTCAATTGTCCGGCCTCGGAACAATTGTACGAAAACAACGATGAACTCTATCGAACCGTGGAGCCCAACAGCAATGGGGGCGATGGCAACACCATTTGATATAAGGCCCAAGAGCCAGAGAGGAGTAGTAGCAGCCGTGGAGACAACAATAATGGAAATGAGGGAATATTAAGGGGAAGACAAGAGTTAAGAACGCGTGGAAATAGCAATGAAGGAATGTTTAATAAAAATGGAGGAGAAGAACCAAAACAACAGAGATTACAATTAGAATTAGCACCACCACCCCCACCACGAACAACAAGTAGGCAGCAGCAGCAACAGCAGAGGCAGAGAATAGCACCATTAAGAGCAACAATAGCACCCAGCAGATCGTATCCTTTTAGCCCACCAGAAGATATATCGCCCATATCACCAGCCCTACAAAATGCAGTTACAAGCTCCACAACTCGTAATAATACCAAAAATAGTTTTAGAGGCCACATGAAATACTCACAAACAATCCAAAGTAGTCCTAATGCAATAGCATCCCATGGCGGTAGTAGTAGCAGTAGTGGTAGTTCGAGCGGTAGCAGTAGTATTAGTACAAATAGTAATAATAGAAATGAGCTTTTCAATCATCATAATCATGAAAAGATAAAATTCAATCATGATAAACAACAACAACAACAATTTCACACCAATGAACAACGAAAACGTATTAACAACAACAACAACAACAGTAGCAGCAACAAGAACAACAAAGAATCTGATCATCATTCCCGGCCCATGCAAAGGCAACGTCAGCATTCAAAGTCGCAACATCAGTCATCGCAATTCGGTAATTTCAGTTCGGGCAAGAAATCCTCAAATGCCAACACCATCAACAACAACGAAGAGCTGAAAGACTACAAGAGTAAAATCAAAAACAAATACAACATCGATTATGATCATTCACTGGATGAGGAATACGAAATAATTGAGGCCGTCGAATGAATGGAAGAAGGGCACGAAAAGGCTGCACTGATGACGACGACAATGATGGCGGTGATGGACAATGGATGCTTGACCACCATCATTACCAAACCGACAACAACGACAACGACACCAAGACAATGTCGTTGGCATGAAATGATGTTGCTCAAACGATCAAACCAAAGATGGACGTTGCACCATCCCTTGAATGGGCACTGAGTACTTGGCGAGTGCAAAATTCGACAGCTTAAATAGTTTGGCATTATGTACGATCTGATCAAAAATAACAGGGAAAATCACACACATTTTCCATTCATCAAAATCTTTGTGGCATATGTGTTGAACTGTGTGTCTGCGTTGTGAAAATTGTGAAATACGATTGAATTGTTCTTTAAACTGAAAAAAAAATACTCGCTACAATTAAGTTAAAAATAAGTACGACAATACTGCATTTTATTTTATTTTATTTTTTTCTCTCTCTACTGGTTGGCTTCTTCAAAAACTCTATTCTCCGTTTGACCACAAAATTTCTATTATTTCCATATTGTAGAAAATTGTTTTTTTTTTTTATTGTTTAACTAGTTTTAGAGGTAATATTTTGTATTATTACTTTTTTTATATGAATTTTTGTATTTTTTTGTACATGGTATCCTTTTGTGATCAATAAAAATTTGAAAGAAATGTTAATTATTTGTTATACCCAAAAATAATGTAACACCTCGAAATATTGGTCCCCGACATAGGAATGTATATATGGATCATCCTATCTCGCCTAGCTGAGTCGATCTAGCTTTGTATGTCCGTCGGTCCTTGTTAATTTGTAATCAATGTACGACATTGAAAATGGAGGTAGGGTTAGGGTCAGAATAGAAGCCTTTTGTTTTTGGAGGTGGTCGCAAAATATTTTATGACCAATAAACATACGAAAATGTCCACTAATCCTCCACCATTCATAGTATTGAGGGTATATTAAGTTCGTCATTCCGCTTGTAATTCATCGAAACAATTTTGGACCCATCAGCGTAAAATTTAAAGACAATTTAGCCCTGTCTGTCCGTCTGTTGTAATCACGCTAAAGTCAAGTATATTTAAAGAACAGATAAAGCTTTAAATCTTTTTAATTGCTGATTTAACAAAAACATTTTTTTGAGGAGAAAGTGTTCACTTCTCCTTCAATTTGGACTTTTTTTGCGGATATTTTTAGCGGAACCAATAGAGCTATAACGTAGATTTTTTTACAATATTTTTTGAAGAACTGACTGAAGAACGTCAAATTTTCAAGAATATTTTTTGAGGAGCCATCATTTAAACCATTGAAGCCTTTAAAGTGAATTTTTAAATAATATTTTTTTTTAACAACGCCAAAGCATTGAAATTTAAACGATTTCTTACAAAAAAAAATCATATTTTTTACGACATTCATGGCCAAAAATTCACAGAATAAAACAGAATCATGGACTTGTTAAAAATATTTTAAACTTTCTTGGCCAAAAATAGTAGAATATTTCTTTGTTAAAATTTGTCGCTTTTGTAGAAAAAAATGAAGGACTATTTGCCCAAAAGTTCAGGGGCTTTCAGGTATGAAATCCCTGATTTATTTTTTCAGAGTCTTAGTGGCAAAAAACATTGATTTTGGTATCGTTGACCTAAATATCGCGGAATTTTAACGAGATAATTTTGACCACTTAAAGTCGTTGCATAATTACTTTTATATCGACTTTAAGTAGCCACTAAATGACTACACATTGTGGGTGAGTTATGCCCTTGTTAAAACCATAGGTTGGTAACATAACTGTAATGGATACTTTTGCTGGGAACATAGGCCGAAGATTTACATCTAACTATCGTTAAACTAACATTTTAAATAATATTTTTGAGAAGTCTTCTGAGCTAAAAAAAAGTGAAATTTTAAAGATTTTATTTTGTATAACTATAGAACCTTTGGACATTGCTATTTACGCATTTGTATACCCTACAACACTATGTGTTGGGAGTATTATAAGTTTGATTGGACCAAAAATTATTTAACACCTCGAAATATTGGTTTCCCACATAGGAAAGTATATATGGATCTTCCTATATCGCCGAGCTGAGTCGATCTAGCAATGTATGTCCGTCCGTCCGTCTTTCCGTCTGTCCCTGTTAATTTGTAATCAAGCTAGAGGTCGCATTTATGGCCCGATCTTCACGACATTGAAAATGGAGGTAGGGTTAGGGTCAGAATAGGAGCCTTTTGTTTTTGGAGGTGGTCGCAAAATATTTAGGGATTAAAATGGACCAAAAAGAGAAAAATTTCCTGATTGGAGTTAGAGTTCAGGGCTGGGCAGAAGCCTATCAATTTGTACCGTCATCTGACAATATGTAGAGGGTAAAATAAACCATAACTTTTATGTCAAAACATACGAAAATTTCAACTAAACCGCGAATATTTTTTAAACCGGCCAAATCACAAATACATTTAAATGTCACTTCTGACCATGATACTTATAGCCAAGATATCGGATATTTAGCAAAATATGTACAATATATATATGTAAAAGAACTATATTTTTTGTTATTCTGCTTATAAGTCAAGAACCACTGGACTGATTTTCACAATTCTCATCAATTCGAAATGGTATCTTGCCAGAAAAGGATAAAATCTAAGAAAATCGCGTAAAAATATAATAATAAACAAGTAAAAAAGCTGTAAGTTCGGCCGGACGAATTTGGTAATTTTCAAAAAAAAAAAAAAATAAATAAATAAAAAAAATAAATAAAAAAAAAATAAATAAATAAATAAATAAAACCAAATACAATCCGTTAAAAATTCTGTTAAAATCTTAAAAATACCGAATGTATCCGTTATATTAGGGTATATACGACGACGTGGACCTGCATTGGTTACTTTTGTCATAAGCCATTACAATATTCATATGCGAAACTTGCAAAAAAATTCGGTGAATAATGTGGCTAAAATCATCAAAATACCAAACATCGAGAGGTATCGTTATTTGGGGGCTATACGAAGACGTGGACCTGCACAGACAATTTTCTGTAATAGGCTGTAGTATCCATTAGGAACTTTAAATAACAAATTTGAAACAATTCCGGTGAATAACGTAGCTAAAATCATCAAAATACTAAATATCGGGAGGTACCGTTATATAGGGGCTAAACGAAGACGTGGACCTGTACAGACAATTTTTTGTCTTAGGCTGTAGTATCCATTCCGAACTTCAAATACAAAATGTGAAACAATTCCAGTGAATGTCACTAAAATCATTAAAATACCGAATATCGGGCGGTACGAAGACGTGGACATGCACAGACAATTTTCTGTCTTAGGCTGTAGTATCCATTACAAACTTGAAATACCAAATTTAAAATAATTCTGGTGAAAAATGCCCCTAAAATCATCAAAATACCGAATATCGGAAAGTAGCGTTATATGGGGTCTACACGAAAACGTGGGCCTGCACAGACAATTTTTAGTCATAGGCTGTAGTAACCATTACGAACTTCAAATACCATATTTGAAACATTTCTGGTGAATAATTTTGCAAAAATCATAAAAATACCGAATATCAGGAGGAACCATTATATTGGGGTTATATCAAAACGTGGGCCTACATCTTCCATTTTCAATACCAAAAGTCCTGCGCACATAATATACATTTGAGTAAAATTTTATCAACCTACTTCATTTCGTTTGGAAGCTGGAGTGATTTCCACAGACGGACGGACATCGAAAAATCGCCAAAGAATTTTATGCTGATCAAGAATATATATACTTTAAGGTTTCTAAAATATATATTTCGAGGTGTTACAAACGGAATGACACTATCACTATCGGTTTTATTAATTTTTCTCTGAACGTTGTTACTGGAACAAAGTTATTTTTTTCGGTGAATTTCTTCAAAAGCAATTTTGAGTTTTCTTTCTAAAATGAAGTATAATTTTAGGCGCTCTTAATTAATTTAACTAGAGCTTACAAATAAACAATGGAAGTTTGAATCCGTAACAAAAAAGCTTTGCTTGGATACAATCAGCTGCTACAATAACAAATTGTATGTAAAAATACAACAAAAACAAACGTCAGTCAACAACTTGGCCCAGTGCCAGCAGTGGTTTTTATTTTTGTTTGTTCTCTGTTTTTGGTATGTGTCTCCGCAATAAATATTCGTGTACTCTTGGAAATATTTATAATACCGTTGTAGATGCATGGATATAAAAGTTAACTGATATATTTGTTAATTCATGAATATAATAATGGTAAGTATGGAAAATTCATTGTTTACAAATTTTCGTCAAAGCAAAGTGTATACAGTGGATACGTCACCACGATGAGAGCATAAAACGCAATTCATTTTATATGTTATGAGAATAAGAGTGAACTGCGTTTAGAGTTGCCATATTTGTTATTTATTAAAAATACCCAGAAACAGTTCGATAAACCCCAAAAAACCCAATAATTTCAAATAACATATTATATGATCAGGCACTGAATAAAATTTAGATGTAGAAGATTTGGCTTATGTTGGGGTTAGAGGCTACCATGAGGCATTTGGAAGATTGTTTTTAAAGAAGATTTGCTTATTTTGTTGTATTTCTTTCTAAGTATAACGGGAGATTTTGTTGTTTTTTTGGAATGGCTATCAAAAACTTGACTTTTTGTTAATTTATAAAACTTGCGTCGAAGTGTGAAGATATTATTATTAAAATGTGACATAACATAAAAATTCAAAAGTGTATTAAAGTGTTAAAAAGTGTAATTATTAATACAAATATTTCTGATAACCTAATTCCAGAGAGAGTTTATTGCCTTAGAACTGTAGATCGAAAGGTTTTTTAAGAATATGTTGTCTGTCAGTATAGCTCGAAAAGTGATACTAGTGCCGATAATAAAAAGGAAGATTATTTTTCTAACACCAATGTAAAAAATTAATAAAATGGACAAACTCTTACATATTTTATTTCAGTCAATTATCATCTTAAATACACATCAACTGCAAGGACATGAATTCAATCCATATATATTTCTAAAACAAATTATTTTTATTTTAAATAAACTTTTATGCAAACACATATGAACATACTGTTTTGGTAATTTTCATTACAAAGGAATACTTACAGATCACGTACGTGATTTGTAGAATCATAAACACTCATATTAGACTTATAAATGACTCAAATTTGACAGAAAAGTGATATGTGATAATAAAAAGACTAAAAAATATTCACTTAGGACTCGTGAACGATCATAAAAAATACCCAAATTCGTGCAATAAATGATAAAAACACGATTCCAAAAAGACTTGATAAAGTATCCGCAAAAAAGGGGAATACACATATGTGATTTATTTAGAAGAGTCCTGGGGGTACGTTTTTCTCCCGACAAAAGTAATGTTTATGATCAGAAAATTCGTCATATTCTACCTTTTTAATCGTGCTGTAGGATCAAAAAAGACTCGAATGTGATTATAAATTTCAAAAAATACTGACTGGGGTAAGTCGATTTTCGATTAACCGGTTGCTCAAATTCTAGTACTAAAAACTCTAAAATTCCTTTTCTATTATGGATTGTGGTGAATAATAATCGAATTGAATACCTGATTGAACCGAATAATCGACACCTTTAATGAAATTGGATACATAATATTCTTCCTTTGATACTTTTTCAATAAAAATAAGAATTAAGCCATTACATTATTCAAATGCGAAACTTGAAGAAAAATAGGTGAATAATGTAGCTAAAATCATCATATGGGGACATGACATGGACCTGCACAGACAATTTTTGTTATAGGCTGTAGTATCCATTACGAATTTTAAATAAAAAATTTGAAACAATTCGGGAGAATAATGTCGCTAAAATCATGAAAGTAACGAATATCGTGAGGTACCGTTATATGTGGGCTATACTAAGACGTGGACCTGCACAGACAATTTTCTGTCATAGACTGAAGTATCCATTACGAAATTCAAATGCCAAATTTGAAACAATTTCGGAGAATAATGTCGCTAAAATCATGAAAATACCGAATAACGGGAGGTACCGTTATATGGGGGCTATACGAAGACGTGGACATACATGGACAATTTTCTGTCTTAGGCAGTATTACGAATACATTACGAACATCAAATATCAAAATTTGAAACAATTCAGGAGAATAATGTCGCTAAAATCATCAAAGTACCGAAGATTGGGAGGTACTGTTATATGAGGGCTATACGGAGACGTGGACCTGCACAGACAATTTTTGTTATAGGCTGTAGTATCCATTACGAACTTTAAATAACTAATTTGAAACAATTTCGGTGAATAATGTCGCTAAAATCATGAAAATACCAAATATCGGGAGGTACCGTTATATGGGGGCTATACGAAGACGTGGTCCTGCATCGACAATTTTCTGTATTAGGCTGTAGAATACATTACGAACTTCAAATATCAAATTTGAAACAATTTCGGTGAATGATGCCTCATAAATCACCAAAATACCGAATGTAGGGAGGTACCATCATGGCTATACCGAAACGTAGAGCTACATGGCCCATTTTCAATACCAAAAGTCCTCTAGACAAATATGCATATGAGTAAAATTTTGTCAACCTACTTCATTTCGGTCGGAAGCTAGAGTCCTTTCCATAGACGGATAGACGGACGAACGTCGCTAAATCGACATAGAATTTTATGCTGATCAAGATAATACAGGAATTGGTCACCTTTGACACGAATTATGGCCTTCAAACGACCAATGCAAGCGTCACACGCTGCCCGAATGTTGCTCTGCGGTATTTTGGCCCATTCCCTGCGAAGCGCTTGCTTGAGGTGATCGACACTTTGGTATTTTTTAGTATCAGCCTTGCTTTCCAAAATACTCCAGACACAATAGTGCAACGGATTGGTATCCGGAGATTTTGGTGACCATTGTGCGCTGGAAATGAAGCGAGGAACCTCTTCTTGTAACCATTCTCGGGTGGAATGTGCTGAGTGCGATGATGCTGAGTCCTGTTGGAATGTCCAAGGTCTGCGGCCAAAATGTTTGCGTGCCCTAGGCTTTAGTACACCCTCCAGAATATTTTAGCGATAATATTCGGCATTTATTCTGATGCCACGGTCGATTAATACGAGCGGGTGATGGTGTGGGCCGGCGCTTGAGTTCTGGTGGCCAACAGAAGGTGCACATTTTCAGCTGACCTCTTTGGCAAGTAAACACGATCATTTTATTATTTTTTACAAACTGCTGGACAATGAATGTTTTCTCATCGGAGAAAACCAAATTCAGCACTTCACCACTTTCGGCCAAGTGAAGCAACTCTTTAGCTCTTTTGAGTCTCTTTTCTTTCTCTTGCGGTGTAAATTCTTGCACTTTTTGGAATTTCAAAGGCTTTACCCCGAACTCATTTTTTAAAATTTGCCGAATGGAATATTGCGATATGTTCAGCTCATGAACCATTTTTCGGCCACTGCGACGTGGGTTTCGATTAAGTCGCTTCTTTACTTTTCGAACCATTTCTCCTGATGTTGCTGTTTTCTTTTGTCCACTTCCTTGACGTCGGGCTGCGTATCACGGTAACGAGCGATGGTATGAGACACAAAAGATTTATTCACATTTAAATGCTGGAGTGCTCTAACGATAGCCACTTGTGGTTTTCCAGCCAAATAAAAAGAAATCACACTATCACGCTTGAATTCCATCACGAATAAATTTTTTTTCTGGAAAATTCTCACCAAAATGTTTTTGTACGATTATAAACCACATAATGAGCTGTCACTGGAATAATTTTATCAGCTGTAACGACGAGTGGCTTAGAAATAACAGCAGTCAGATGTTGGTTGCAATTTTTCATCTCACCCTGTACTTTGTAGGGTCTGAAATGTATATTTCCAGGTGTTTCATGGTGGATGACATAAAAATACCATGGCGTTATTTTAAGATCTTTGCTTAATTGCTTTGTTTCGAATTCGATGTTGGACTGTTTACCTTGCGACATAAACTTCCTAAATGTGCTGCCTCGGATTAAAATTCTTTAAAATCAACATTTTTATCGTGAACAGTGAACATTTATTTTATATATAGTAAAATAGGGTATGTATATTATTTATATGGGAAAATAATGGGAAAATAATAATAAAATGTGTAAACAAAATACTTATGTTTAATGAAAATTGCTTATGAAATAGGTATTCTAATTATCAACACCCTTTTCCCTGAATATGAATGTGAAAGCAATGCCAAAAAGTTGCGATTCTAAAAAAATATTTTAAATTGTCTATGTAAGTTTTTCTACGTCAAATTGACGCAAAATCGGCTCAAGGCAAACTCAATCATTCGTTATGAACTATTGACCCATTGAATCGACTATAATGTAAAACCAGTAAAGAAAGTCTTCAAGTCGGGCGGGGCCGACTTTATGATACCCTACACCACTTTGCTAATTAAGTAGAGCTCCACATAACAAGTAAAAGTTTTTATGGGAGAATTCAATCATACACGCTATGATTATAATTATAATTTAAAGTTCAAAGGACTAAATATGCCGAAGCATTTGTATCTTTTAAATTCGGACTTGTATTGCCCATTTGGTGTGAAATTAATTTGAAATCGGATAAAAATATATATGGGAACTATATCCAAATCTGAACCGATCTCGATAAAATTTGGCAAAGATATTTCTGAGCTGTATTTGATATATTTCCCTGAATATCGTTGTTACGGAGTGCATATTACGGTTGTGGGTAACAAATACAAAAAATCGGATGAATAATATATATGGAAGCTATAGCTATATCTGAACCGATCTTCACCAAATTTGACATACTAGCTTCTAGACTCAATTCGGTCGTAAGTGCCAAATTCCATCCCATTTGGACAAATATTAGACGTTTGGTGCACAATAAAAGGTAAATCGGACGAAGTTATATGTGGGAGCTATATCCAAATCTGAACCGATCTCGATAAGATTTAGCAAATGTATTTCTGAGCTGTATTTGATATATTTCCCCAAATATTGTTGTTGCATAGTGCATATTACGGCGGCGGTGGACAAAAATAACAAATCGGATGAACAATATATATATGAGAGCTATAGCTATATCTGAACCGATTTCGATCAAATTTGGCGTACATATTTTCAGGCCTAATTTGTGTGTATATGCAAAATTCCATACAATTCGGGCTGATATTACACGTTTGGTGCACAATAAAATTCGAATCGGACGAAGATATATATGGGAGCTATATCTAAATTTTGACCGATTATCTCCAATTTCAATAGGGTTCGTCCTTGGGGCAAACAAAAGATCTTTGCAAAATTTCATCTGGATCGGGCAATAAATGCGACCTGTACTTTGTTTACAAAAATACATGGACAGACGGACGGACGGACGGACATGCATAAATCGACTCAGAATGTGATTCTATGCAGATCATCAAAAGGAACTATGGGTCTATCTCGTTTCCTTCTGCCTGTTACAAACAAATGCACAAAGACATAATACCCTGACCACCTTGTGGTGTAGGGTATAAATAGAAAATCTAAATGGCTTATAAAAAACCGGTCAGTAATGTTCTATTCCAGAACTGCAAGAATGTAAACGTTTTTACAACGATATCCGAAATTCCCTTTATGATATCGGAGAAAATTGCCAGCCTGGTAGATTCTTGCTAGTCCTGGAATTTAAATATCTGGTCGCACATTTTATTTCCATTTTTTTAATATTAACTGCAGTTGGATTCGAAAAATGTATAGCCATGATATTACATTGTATGTATCCAACTACAGGTAATACAAGTCATAATTGCAGAAGCGTATTTCCAATTTCCTTACTGAAATTTCAAATATTACAAGAGTTTACGATGGATTGATGGATTAACATTTTTACAACTTTTTTTTTTTTTGAAATTTAAAATTTTTGTAGAACTCACAACAATTCAACAATGACTTACTAAATGGAACTCCTTACGGGGGATTTATGGTAATTCGACTTGGAATTCCATTTAGATTGTCCCAAAAATGTCTTCAATGAAATAGATACTCCGGCACCAACTCATGCCGGTGATGATGATGCCCATAATTGCGAGTATCACAGACAGTACCCTGAACCAAGGTGTCAGCATCCGCCTTCAAGATACGGAAATTAATGTCCTCATAATTCAACTGACTATAAAGATAGACGGGCAGACGGTTACTTATCACCCACACACTTTGTTTCGGTTCATGATCGACTTTCAAATCATTGGGAAATTGTATGAGCGTACTATTGCCCTCTGCCTCCAGGAAGCGATGCAAGTTGGTGGCATCATATGGCTTTTTGGTATTCCAACAGCCAACATCATCACGATGTACTTGGGTGAAGAACATGACACCGTTGCGATCGATTCCCGAGGTGGATGACTGGCCATTGATACCACGTTCCCCAATGGGCAGGAAATATTTGGCCAAATCCTGGGCCTTGGCTGGCCAGAGGCTTTCGTCCTTTAGCAGGGCATTGGAGACCACAAATTCCTGGAATTGAAAAATATTTAATAGTTTTTAATTTTTTTTTTTCAATATTTTAAAACACCCACCTTAAAACTAGCCATGGGATGGAAATACAAAATCCTCTCCTCATCGGGAGTCTTGGCCAGCGACAAACTCATGCCAAACACACCATCCAACCATTGGAAATTCAAACCAAACACATTGAAATCCGAGGCCACTGGATCGGGTGAGAAATTGTAATTGGTCACACGCCAGCTACGATTCTTCTTCAGGCTGTACACAACAATGCCAAAACGCCAGACATCTGTCACATAGGCATGGGCATCGTCACAACGATTACGATGAACATCCACAATAATGTTGGAATGCAAACTATCTTGCTTCACCTGATCGGCAGGGAATTGATACTGGACCACCTTTTGATTGGTGCGCAAATCAAAGGCCACAATTTTCGGGGGACACACCTGGCTAAGGCTTACCGTGGCATTGACAATGCCCGAATCAATTAACCATATTCGACCACAATCATCGATTTGGGTACGATAGACAGAAATAAGTTTCGAACAATCTGGATTGTAGGGATCGCCATGGGCCTCCCAATTCGGGTATGGACGTATTGGAGGACTTTCTTCCTGTGGTGGATATGGCAACCAGCCAAAGCTGGCGGGGACACCATCCTTCCAGCGTGGAGTTGTTATAAATATGCGATCTTTATAGAAGTCAACACCCAAGGGTAGATTATTTTCGGCTATGAATTCTCTGGAAATAGAAACAGAAACACACACACACACACACATTGGCATAAAAATGAGTTTCTAATCCATGGCCTTCAGCAGTTAAAGATTTCACTATAAAGAGGGCTGCCTTGCATACCTATTGGCAATAGCCTTTTGTCTCTGACCAAAGGTGGGGTATTCAAAATCCAAATATTTCCATTGGTTGACAATTTGAAATGCTTGTGATTTTCGTGTTATTGGTGCTCCAACTGATTGTGCATCGGGTGCACCATAACCATATGCCGTTGCTCCGCCATACTCAATCTCTTGTGGTGGCAAAGCTGGTGCTGAGTAAATTCCACTGCTACGATAGGTCCCCGCCAAGACGCAGTTGAGACAAGCCAAGCTAACCACAATTGTCACAGTTACAGCAACAGCTGTAGAGCGGCGACGGCGCTTAACAAAACTGGAACAGGGCATTTTTTTGTTGTTTTTTTGTTTTCTTTTCAACCAATCACTGAAATTTTGTTTTATAGAATTATTGAATAGAGGATTTTTATTTGAAATTTGAATACGCAAGCGTTTCACTTACCGTTTCGAACTGTATCATTTGGCAACTGAAACTGAAATGGCAATTAAAATCATACACGGCTGGTGTTTGGTTGTCTAGCTGGCTGAGTGGATGACAAGCTGGCTGGCTGGCTGGCAGACTTGTGGACTGGTCTGGTACAACAAGAAGGCTATTTACAATTTGAAGTTAATTCCAAAACATCAGAAAGGCTAGACGTATGTCTGTCCGTTTCTCTCAATGTGGGTAGTTAGCTTAGCTTGGCTACAATACCGTTCAGTCAACCAACCATCACACATGTCGGCCAGTGATGCCAATACAGATTTTGAGGACTGGAAATGCGGATTTTTAAAGAAAAAAATTTGTGAGGGGTCGAAATGGTTATAAACGCTGGCTCTTAAAAATATCAGAAGGAGAGTTGTAAACGTGGAATCTTCAAAAAAAAAAAAAAAAAAAAAAAAAAAAAAATGGGCCCTAAGACCTATAAGGGTGTATTTCTTGGGGAACATTTTTTAAGGTCCAGTACCTCAGCTTGAATTTGAATTTTTCTTTTTAAGGAACTTTAAGAGCTTTACATGTGTGGTTTTAAGGACTATTTTTTAAGCGACTCGAAGAGCTTTAAACTTGAATTTTTCTTTTTAAGGAACTTTAAGAGTTTTGAATTTGGATTTTAAGGGCTTTTTACGGACTTTAGGAGCTTGGATTTTTAAGGACTATTTTCCTAGGTATGGATTTGAGGACTATTTTTTGAGGAACCATAAAAAGTCATTAACGTGGACTTTTATGGACTATTTTGTGTGGATTTTCAAGGACCATTTTTCAGAACCATAAAAGTGTATCTTTAAGGACTATTTTGGACCGTACGATCCACTAAAATGCATTCTTATATATATTTTTATGGGATCATAAGAGCTATTAACTTTGGTTTTAAATGACTATTTTCTGAAGGGATCATTGGAACTATTGACATTCTTAAGGAGCAGGCGAAATTTATAAGGGAATATTTTCCAGGGGTCATCAGAGCTACAGACAGGATTTTTAAGATATATTTTTTTTTGCAGAACATCAGAGCTACAGGCTTAGTCTTTTAGGGACTATTTTAGAGGAACCATCAGAGCTATATACGAGGATTTAATGGACTATAGTTTGAGGGATCATCAGATATATAGATGTAGGTTTTAGGGACTATTTTCAAGGGGACATCAGAGCTATATGCAGGGATTTTAAAGGACTATTTTTGAGGAATCATCCGAGGTACAGGCGTAAGTTTTAGAAACTATTTTCAAGGGACGATCAGAGCCATAGATTTTTAAGGGATAATTGGAGTTATAGACGCAATATATTTATATATATATAAACAAGTAAAAAAGCTGTAAGTTCATCCGGGCCGAATTTTAAATACCCTCCACCATTTGCAGCAAATTTTCAAAAAAATAAAATCAGTTAAAAATGCTGTTAAAATCCTAAAAATACCGAAAGTATCCGTTATATTAGGGCCTATACGACGACATGTCATAAGCCATTACAATATTTAAATGTGAAACTAAAAAAATCGGTGAATAATGTAGATAAACTCATCAAAATACCGAATACAGAGAGGTACTAATATATCTGGGGGCTATACCAAATTTTTAAAATTTTCTGTCATAGGCTGAAGTACCCATTACGAACTTCAAATACCAAATATGAAATAATTCCGGTGAATAATGTCGCTAAAATCATCAAAATACCGAATATCGGGAGGTGCCGTTATATGGGGACTATACCAAAACGTGGACCCGCTCAGACAATTTTCAGTCATAGGCTGTGGAATCCATTACGAACTTCAAAAGCCAACTTTGAAACATTTCCGCTAAATAATGTCGCTTTAATCACCAAAAATTCCCAAAATGGGGACTAAACCAAAACGTGGACCTACATGGCCCATTTTCAATACCAAAAGTCCTACAGACATAATACATGTTTGAGTAAAATTCGGAGGCTAGAGTGATTTTCATAAACGGACAGATGGACGGACATCGACATAGAATTTTATGCTGATCAAGAATATGGGGTCTAAAATGTATATTTCGAGGTGTTACAAATGTAATGACATACATAATATACCCTACATACTATGGTGGAGGGTATAAAAAGAGTAGAGTGATGACTAAGTGTGTAGGGGCGTGATAAGGTCGGGTTTTTGGATATTTATACTAGAAGGGTACTAAAAGGTACAACAATTTGAAACCACTCGATTGGAAAAATTGATAGAGCTAAAATTCTGAAATTTTTGGAACCGTCCATGTCCTTATTGCTAGGAAATAGTATTAATAGAAAATAAATAAATAAAATAAAATTTGGAATGAGGGTCGCTGAAAGTGTGCAAAAAAATTTGGAATACAAAATTTCGAATCTGAATAAATTAACTTTGTAATAATTGAAAAGTTCCACTCGGAATGGTGAGCGATTAAAAACGCGAAAATCCTAAAAGTGCCGATTACTGGTACACTTACCCTACCAAAGGTTGTTTGGAAATTTGAACTATAAGTGTTCTAAAATTACTAAAAGAACCTAAATTTGGAATCATTTCTCATCATGTCAACGCTTAGAGCTAAAAACTCTAAATTTGAAATCTGGATCAAGGTTGAGGAGTATGGTAGATGTAGGGAGGTAGTTTTGTAAAAAAGAGTACGAAAAGTACTAGGCATTGAAATTGGCACAATGGAGGAAAAAGAATTGAGCAACGGATGGAGCTGGAATCCGGAAATTTGAAATGAAGATTACTGGCAGGGGGATATGTATTTTGAAAATTCGTACTTATGTGTACTAAATGGTACTAAATTTGCTACAATTAACCTTTTGGGAGAGTAGAGTTGGAATTCTTTAATCTATTAGATTGCATGATGTAAGTAGTTATGGAAATTTGTACTTATGTGTACTAAATGCTATTAAATTTGGTATAATTTGGATGTGGGTGAAACGATACAGATGAAGTTGTGAAATTTGATACTTAGGTCAATGTTGGGTTTTGAGTGAATGTATAGAGATGGAATCTTGAAATTTTAATTTTGAGGTTTCTTTTGGTGCTTGTTGTTTAGATTTTGTGGTGGTTTTGCAAATGCCTACCAGAATTGTTCAAAAAGTACTAAATGGTACTAGTTTTGGATCAGTGATGGTGTCTAGGATATACGTACTAAATGTTGCTAAATTTGGTATTGACTGAAATTTTGAAATTTGATATTGAAGTTTCTTAAAATGGTTTTGGACAGAAAAATTATATATGGGTCCATTGTGCAATGGTTTTATTAATATCCTCCTCGGCAAAATGAAAGATTTTAAAGATTTGTTGGTGTAAAAGGTAAACATTTTTATACCCTACAACACTATGTGTTGGGCGTATTATAAGTTTGATTGGGCCAAAAATTATGTAACGCCTCGAAATATTGGTTTCCCACATAGGAAAGTATATATGGATCTTCCTAGCTCGCCGAGCTGAGTCGATCTAGCTATGTATGTCCGTCCGTCCGTCTGTCCGTCTTTCCATGTTAATTTGTAATCACGCTACAGGTCGCAATTATGGCCTGATCCTAACGAAATTTTGCACGAAGGTGGGGTTAGGACGAGAATAGAAGCCTATTTCTTTTGGAGATGATCGCCAAATGTTTAGGGGTTGAAATACTGAAACACTGAAAAAATGTCGGATTTTGCAGTAGCTGTACAGGTCGCAATTATAGACCAATCGACGCGGAATTTTGCATGTAGCTAGAGTTTAGGGCGGGGAAGAAGCCTAGCAAATTGGGTGAGCATCGGATAATATTTAGCGGGTAAAATAGACCATATCTTTTGTGTTGAAACAATTCAAAATTTTTCATTAAACCTCGAATATTTTAAATCCCGGCGAAATGCCAAAGCCATGACAAGGTTACTTCTAATCTTTACATTGATGTTAACATCCAACAAAACGGATATATAGCAAAATATGTGCGATATATATGTCTATTAAAGAAGATATGCTTGAAAGATCTCTTATATGTCGAGAACGACTGAACTGATTTCGACAGTTCTCATTAATTCAGAATGGCCTCTTGGCAGGAAAGAAAAAACGTCTGAAAAAATCGCATAAAAATATCTCTCTAAAGATGAAAATATTGATTTTGTAAAATTGTCTCATATTTTTTCAATTTTGTCATATTTTTGGCATATTTTCATTTTGAATTAAACATTTGGTAATATTTCTATAGCTAACAAAATTAAGTAGTTGAGATATCAAGATATCATATACAGATCGCATTTATGGCCCTATCCTTACGAAATTTTGCATGGGGATAAGATGAGGGTCAGAATAGAAGCCTACTCTTTTTGAAGATGATCGCCTGATCACACAATTGAAGCCAATCGACACGCCTGAGAAGACAGTTAAGGGCTAGGAAGAATTCTAGCATTTTGGATGATCATTTGATTATATTTAGCTGTAAAATGGAAAACAACAATAATAACAGCACGACGGAGTGCGTAAATATTGTGTAAATGTCCCTGTTCAAAATGCCAAGGGTAATATCTAGGCAGTGCTCCGTGACATCATTTCAAAAGTGAATTCTTCCAAAATGGATTTGGACATAAGGGGGCTTCTAACATATTGTAGTGTTGTAGGGAATCACATGGTCGGCCTCGCACGACTATAGCCTTTGCTTACTTGTTCTACTATTACTTCTGAAAAAGCAAATACTTGATTATTATATAAAACCTTTCAAGTCTGAAAATTTAGTACGATGTATGAAGTTTTGATTAAAAAATTTCGTCTATTTTAACAAATTGTGCATTTGAGTATTAAAAAGACCTAAAATTAACTTTTGGAACGATTCTAAAATTTTAGGGGGGGCTTTTCGCTAGCGAAGTAGTTTTGAGGATTATTTTTATAGTGACATATCAAGTGATAATCTTAAGTTATTTAAAATTTTTTATTAAAAATCGCTTTATCTCACAAGCGACAGCTATTGACAACACTGCTATTTATTTCTTATTAAACAGCCTTCGATTTCTATTTTTTTTCCTTCCCATGTTAACAATTTCTTGGCTTACATTTAATGGTGATAATAATGTATATCGGTCGGTATGTACGTACATGAAACGATTGACTTATGATTTAATGGTTTAATGCGTTTGCACAGTGTCCAAAGACACTGTAACCATAGGCAAAGTATAGCCTGCCAAGATGCGGAAACTCTCACATGAATGTGTGTGTATGTTGTGGTCAAGCAAAATGTGTGGTACTCGTAGGAGCAGCAAAGTTTGTAGAATACGTTTACAACATAATTAATGGTATCACACGATACCGTCTGGCCGAGACAAT